TAACCAAAGACAATCAAGAAAATAATGTTTACTTTTAAAAATAGCATTTTTCTATGGTGGAAGTTATTATATTTAGTACATGTTTAGGAAAAAATCTCAATGTTTAACTGCACTGGTCAATACAGGTAAAGATTTTTGTTTTTCTAATAAAACCTCAATGGACAAATCATATAAACCATATTTTTAATACAAAATGCAGCCAAAGATTTATTACTGCTGTTAGCCAATTAGCTGGGATTGTTGGTCACAATCCAGAAAACCCAAATACTGGAATGAGGAAGGTAGAATTTTACAATTAAAAAACAAATGAAAGGGCTAAAAATGGCATTAAACCTTAGTAAAGGCTTTAATGTGCTGGGTTCTTTTTAATGCATGTGGAAACAGAAGAATTTCCAAATAATGTGTAAGTACTTTATTTCTGCTGTGTATAATTTAACTTTTAATAAACTATACAGATTTTTGTGAAACTTTAACAACTGTGTCATGTCTTTTTTTGTGAGGATTAGTAAAACGTTCGACTCTATTCTATATTATCTTGTGCTTTTTCTCTCTATTAACTTTCAAAGATTTATGTCCATTTAGCAGAAAAAGGGTACTTAACATGGAGAATCAGATCTCCAATATGTAAATGTCTTTTAACAATATGATTCTTCAAAGAAAAAAACAAGTTGTTTTATTTGGAATTTGATTAATATGCTGTCCGAAATTGACACATTTCAGTTACAAAACAGGACATTTTCACTCTCATTTTTGTACTTTTAAAAAAGCAAAATACCTTGAATAAAAGCCAAAGGATTCTAATAAATTGAGAAAAATGTCGGCGTCCTTTCTGTACAGCCAGGAGGAAGTTGTGTAGTCTGCCTGGAAGACTTGCTTTGCATGATGGGTTTATCTTTTCTATTCTCCATAAACAAAAGTATTTTAGCTGCTTAGGAGTTACTTCATATTTACTGTTTAGTTACAAAGATACAAACATAACTGTTAACTCAGTTTTTACTCTGACTCTACCTCTGTGTGCTCTCTTTTATCCTTTAAATAGGAAAACCAGCTCATAGTTCATGTGTCTAACTGTTTCTTTCCTAGACGGAAGCACTTATGAAGCTTGTTCACTGTTACCTTTCCTGACATAGAAAGTACTTATAAATCAGTGCTTCTATGTTCCTTTTTTTGGTCTGATTCAGTCTCCTTGAACCCCAGACGGCCTCGGAAGAAGGCTGATCACAGAACCAGCCTGGTTCTGCTGGATTTTTTTTTCCTGTTAAAAGGGATTTTTTTCTCTCTCCACTGTCGCTGCATGCATGCTGAGCAGCAGGGACTGCTGTAGAGTCAACTACAGAATGCTCCCTTCTAGGAGGAGTAAATCCTCTAAAGTGAATGACTCGATGCAATCGGTTGGTTTTTATTATCTAAAAAAAAAAAGTTAAACTAATTGTGCTATTTTAGTTAAAGTGATTTAATACAATTTAAAGAGAAAAATTCTTATACAATCAACGTTTTTTGAAGGCATGTCTAGGAATGATACCATATCAGCCCAGCTACTGCTTCTGCTATCTGCATAATATTACCCATATAATGAATCTCTCTGTAATCTTGTTCTTATAATAATAATAAATAAAGTAAAACAAACTGACTATATATTTTTAGCTTTAGATTAAACATCTGGAAAACTGTTTTTATTAAACTTAGCAGAGATTCTGGATGTACGTCTTTCAAACTAAGAGCTTTTTTTTTAGCACCAGCAGTGTTTTTGTATTTTTTTTTTTATAAAAAGCCTTTTGACTTAAGAAAAAGGAAAACATTTACCAGCAGGTGTATTTGCAGGGATATGAATATACATGATAAGTCCAGAAGCAAAATTAATTTTCATAACTTCCCAAGACATCTGTACAACCGATTCAGCGTAAATAGGTATTCTTAATATACGAATTGTGTAGGACGAAAAAGGAAGAGGCATTGTGCATTTACAGCTAAGGAATAAGAGTATAGCTGTAATAAGAATCACTGAAATGAAAATGGTCTTTATAAATGTTATATTTTCCGTACTTCTAAAGCTAAAATGTCTTTTTGCCTTATCATATAGCTGGAGAAGTCTAAATATAACCAAACATACGTGCTTAGTTCATCAGTTTATTTTGCAGTGTGTGTAAATTCCTTCAAACTTGTTAAACATTCTTTTGTTATCAGCCTTAGGGGTAAAAAAGCAATGTCTCTGTCCCCATCAGGAGAAAGACATTGTTCTTTATCTATTTGCTGAGATTTCTGTATCATTGCCTCTGATGCTGATGCACGTTCGACCAAAGAGTCTAAACCTAAAGCTTCTAAAATGAAAACGTCTAACTTAGATTTTAGGAGATTTTGAAGGTTTCCCTTCAAAATTTCTTAGATAGTCTTTGACAAGCAGTGCAAAACCCTTGTCTTCATCCAGATTTCATTTTAAAGTACAGGGACCCTAAAAACATCTGGTGACAAACAATCATCTAAACTAAAACTCAGCATTTTATCAGAAGAGGAATTCTGCTGAGAAGTTCTTTGTTTGGTTTTGTTATCCAAAAATCATTATCAGATGCCTGGCAAAATGCCTACTCAAGCACTAAGGACTAACTAAGGCACTAAGGCTGACTAAAAACAACAGAACATGTGACATAGTTGTTCATTTGTATAGAGCCTCATTGAACAATTGCAGAAACAAAGATGCCCAAAAAAGCTCTAATTTACCTACTTTAGTTGGGCTGTTTTGAAATTAGCTTGAATGAAAATTGAGTTCTGAAGAGGTTCATAATCATCATTTTGTCAAGTGTGTGTTTGTTTACACTTTTAAATGAGGACTTTTAAGGTCATATAAATTTGACCTTACTTGCACATCAATATTGATATTCAGTCAGTTGTTTTATTTAATGATTCATCTATTTGAAGCCAGTTTTTAATTTAGCAAGTTTTCAATAAACTATTCAGCAACAGCACTTCTACTTTTTCATAGCCTCATATGTTGATAGTTTTTTAGCCCTACAATAAAATTGGCAGGTGCGCTGGAAGCTGTTTCAAGCGAAGGGGGCTGATGGCTGGGTTGGAAAACACGTGACGTCATTATGTTGAGGGCTGTGGCTGACGTTTTTAACACAATATTGTAGGCCTACATCTGTCGCCAAAAACTGCCATTTAAAATGCATCGGAACAAAGCATGAACATTTTAAACTTTATTTCTTCTCTTTTAATCATTCAAAACAAACAACAGCTCCCAATCAACAGGATCAGGAATACCTGAATAAAACATGGCCTAAATATAGCCTAAACTGAGCATTGAACGTCTTGAAAGTCCATTCGACTATGGATATGGGGAATGATTTCATATCTGAAACAAAAAACACACACAAAAAAAATTAACTAATTTCATATTTTATCACTAAATAGCTTAATACAGACATAATATTTAGTGATATGCAGCCTTATTCTAGCGTAGACTTCTTCAGCCACAGGACTACGACGAATAGGCACAGCATATAGAAATAAATAAGAAATAAATAACGCTAAATAAATTCTCTGCGGCAGTATAGGGGAATTAAAACCATTTCTTACCTCGAAATAGTCAGAAATACGTTTCTGCTGCCTATTGCTAGCCATGCCTAAACAAATGTGAGGTGGCGGAAGCGTCCGGAGGAGTAGCCTAGTTTTTTATGAAATATTAAAATAATGAATCATTAGTTTATATCTTATATACAGCCCATCATTTTAATCCCATATCAAACAAAGTCTTTTAAAAAATAAATACATAAATAATTTCATGTTTTTAAGTACAATATTATGTTACTCCACAGCCCCCCACCATGGGGGGCTGATGCTATGACGAGTCCCGTGCCACTGAAAATTGGTGAATTTTCCAGAAAGAATATGTGTTTTACACTTGTTTAAATGTTTAACAAATAAAAAGACTTTTTATAGGCTTAGTCCTTTGTAATTAACATTATAACTTTCCTTTTTGATAAAGCTTATAGTTAGAGTGGCACAGGTTATCCTGAGCTATCTCTATAGTTATGCTGCTATAGGCTTAGACTTCTGGAGGACATAGGGACCCCTATTTCATCATTTTGCTTTATTCTATCTCTATTCCTCCACTCTTCAGAATGTGTTAGTTCAATCTCTAGCATTATGCTCTCTCTGCCTTTTCTCATAGTGACTTCACCTCATCTGTACCTGTTTGGCTGTGATACCGCCCTGGAGAGAAATAGCAGCTATGCTGCTGCCATCAACACCTTTGTTTATAGATGTTGGAGATCGGCCTGTTTTTCCATTGTCCTTTTTCTCTGACTGTGACTGGCTGGATGTGCCCTCTTCATCCTCTGATATGGGAGTTGGCTCGGAGCTCGTCTGCCTGGCTGTGTGTTTCCTGGACGGGGCCGCCTTTTACAGTTCCTTTTTGTATCTCTGCCTCTGTCTCCTTGAAACCCAGTCGGCCTCGGCAGATGGCCGCTCACACTGAGCCTGGTTCTGCTGGAGGTTTCTTCCTGTTAAAATTGAGTTTTTCCTCTCCACTGTCGCTACAAGCATGCTTAATGTGAGGGATTGCATTTGATAGAATGATTCAATGCAATCAACTGGTTTTCCTTAGATAGAAAACTTAAAATTTTTGATCTGGTGAACTGTAAAGTGCCTTGAGATGACGTGTGTTGTGAATAAACAGAATTGAAAACTGAATTGAATCATGATGATGCACCGCTTCAAAAAACTATAACTTGATGAAACCGGTTTTCATTTGAATACGGGCCTTTAGGACCTTTCCCATGAATAAAACTCAAACTACACGTTTAATTAAATGCAATTAATGCCGATAAATGCGGGGAAAAAATGTAATAAAATCTATTAAAGAACCATTGAGGTGCAAACTACCAAAGAATTTGCTACTGTAGAAGAATTTTATAGAAGATCGGGTCGTCGGTTGTGCCTGACAGTCTGAATTGAGGGTTAAACCACCCATGTCGCATGTGGAATTTGATCACGTGACCAGACCTGATATAAACATGTATCACATGATTTCATGTTAGTTTGCAACATGGCGGCCTACGTACTGCTGCTGGTCGCTTTTCTGTCTGTCTTCAGCGGGGTTTTAAGTTTTCCTGTCGGTCAGGAGAACAGAGACACCAGCACCGCCTGCGGATACCAGGTCGTTCATTACGGTTCTAGTCTGATTTTACTGTTTGAAGAAGTTTTATTTCTGTGTTTTTAAACTAAATTAAGGCTGACGGACTATTTTCACTTTCACTCATTCCTTATGTGAGCTTTTAGTTTGGGACGTTAGTTAGCATGCCAGGTTTTATTCGTGTTTAACACTTTTGGTTCTTAACGCCTTTATGTTGATAAACTGTGTTTTATGTCTGCAGTCATGTCACGCCACCAAGCCTGGCATGCTGAATGTCCACCTGGTTCCCCACACACACGACGACGTGGGCTGGCTGAAGACTGTGGACCAGTACTTCTATGGAGGTCAGTCCACAATCAAACACATGCTCTGTCTCAACAATCCTGTCTTTTCTGCAAGGTTGAGAAAGACTTCCTTCCTTTGGTGGCCTTTTTTTCATTTCCAGACAGGAAAATCCAATTTGACCACATATATTAGTTTGAATATTGAACTTATTAATTCAGTATTTAACATTTAATTCAAGTTTATGTGTAGAGTACTGTTAAACATGTAAATTACGGAAGAGGATTAGGGCCACTCGGGGAAAAAAAAGAACCGATTTTTGAATATTATTTCCACTTATTATGAGAAAAAAGTCAGAATTCATACTTTTTTCTCAGTATTCTGACTTTAATCTCAGAATTACGACTTTAATCTCAGAATTCCGACTTTAATCGCAGAATTCCGACTTTAATCGCAGAATTCCGACTTTAATCTCACAATTATGACTTTTTCCCCATATTAAACTGAAATAAAATGTAAAAATCAGTTAACTTTTTTATTTTTTCAGTGGCCCTAATCCTCTTCTGTAGTAAATGGACCAAACTGCTGTTGTGAGTAAAAATTAAACACCGTTTACAATGGGTGAATGATACCATATCAGCCCAGTTAATGAATTAAAAAAGACAAACAAAAACTTTTTTATATACATTAAGCCAGATACAACTACTTGAGAGTAGATGGGCTTTAAGAAGAAGTTAAAAGCAGACAATGAACCTTTAACAGATGGATTTGATTCGGTTTAGGAGCTTCGATAGTTGAAGCACAGTCCCTCCTGAGTTTAAGCATAATTTTGAGTGACAATAATGATCAAAGTATTTTTATAGAGATGCAGCAGCTCAGAAAAGTATATGGGCATTTGTAAATTTCAAAGTAAACGAGGACACTATAAAATGTAAAAGCAGCCAGTGGAGGGAAGGTAAAACTGGAAATATGATCTATTTATTAGTGTTACCGATCCCTGGCTGTGCAGTATTGGCCGATATCATCTGTTTGAAATTGATGTGTGTATATATGAGGAACTGCATACTACTTGTAAGTAAAATAATTGCCATCATGGCTTTGTCCAGCTGCTGCCTACCTTTGGAAAGCAGGAAAAAGACTAATGCAAAGTGAATCCAGTAGAACTTTTTATTGCCTGCCTGGAATGGGTGACAATAGTTGAATAAACCTTTGGCTCTCAAAATGGTATCGGTGCTCTATTTGTTGGTACTCACCGATACCGATACCACCATGTTAGTGCTGGATCGGGGCCTTGTCCAATACTGGTGTTGGTATCGGTCCATAAATATATCAAGAAATTTAAAAACACACAGAATAAAAATATTTGCAGTTTAAGAATAATAGCTCCTTAGAATAATTTAAATTGACAATGCAGTAAAGAGTAGGGAATCGGTTGAGGTACTTCTGCTTGTTGTTAGTAGAAGTGTAGTACTTCTCTGTTATTTTTTCTTCCTGTTTCAAAGCATTGACTGGTTTTAAAATTCAGCAGTAAAATCATTCCTCTACTTTCTCTTAATTATTCTGTGTTTAAACTAGCGATGCACGATATTGGGATTTTGGGCGATATCCGATATGCCGATATTTTAAAACTCATGTAGCCCATAACCGATACCGATATCGATGTTAAAGCTGGACAAAAATAAGTAGTCATTGAAAATAGCAGTTTTGTTATGCATTTCTGACACTTTGAAAAATAATATTCTCAAATATATTTTCATATGCTGATATCAAATTGATTTTTAAAAACGCTGTATTGATCTCTTTTACTTTCAAAATCTCGTGAAATTTCATTGTTCTGTTACAAACTCGTGATATTTTGCTAATTTTTGTGAGATTTTGTTAGTAAAATAGATCAATACCGCGTCAATATATCAACATATGAAAATATGGCAAAATTTTGTGAATTTGCCGGGGATTTCGTAGCATAACGATGACATATAGCAATATTTCATTAGTAAAAGAGATTGATATGGTGTTTTTAAATAGCAATATATCAGCATATGAAGATATTGTGATATTTTAATGTATCAATATTTTTTCCCTCGTCTTTAGAAGTTTTTAAGTCTGTCAAAAAGAAGTTTTTGAGGAAGAAGAAGAAGTAGTATTTATTTTTTTTAGACTTTAGAAACTCAGAAGCTGATCAAATATCGGGTTAAATATCGGTGGGGTGGCCGATGTCCGATATTCAGTTTTAAGGCCAATACAGGCCGATACCGATGGGGGCCGATTATATCGTGCATCCCTAGTTTAAACATGTCTATCTAGGATGATGCTTAATGCTGATATGCTTCCATATTTAACATGTTCAGTCTTGATTGGACTGCTAAATCGCTAAATATTGCAAGCATAAAAAGGCTTTAAGAATGCAGAAATCTGTCAACACACAGGTTCAGGTTACTGTAGTGAAAATCTAAATATCCATAGTTCTACAGGAAATGACAGAAAACATAACAAATTTTATAGATCATGTCTTATCTCTATGCAGCTAAAAAAAATCATGACCTAATCATGGCTACATACAGTTTTAGCACTATTTGCACTATTTATGCATGTTTATAGCCTTAAATATATCTAACGCTGAATTCATTATTTCCTATATAAACAAAATCTGCAGTCAGATTTATATTTTAGAGTAAATCTTACTTATAGTGAGTGCAGCTGTTTTGATTGTTCTTGATTCTTCTCTTATCTTTGTGCCGTCGACATCTTTTACCATTCAAAACATGTTTTTATGGTTTTATTACAATTGCATGACAAGCTTGCATGTCTCATCACTTTTTAGTCTGGTTAGGGAGTTTATCTTTTCAGCAGAATACCTTTAGTAGATCTTCTTCAAGTTTGTTTTTTAAATGGATGATTCTCCAACTTCAGTCAAATTTCATGATATTTTTTCAGAAAATCATATTTTGATTAGTTATTCTTGATCACAATGTGTAAAAGAATCATCTAATTGTGGCTGTAATGAAAAATGTATAATGTATATAGAATATATAGTAATGGAAATGGCAATGTTTAGCATTTCTTTTAAAATTTCTAGACATTGGCATGCTAATCTGTTTTAGAGTTAGCATAAGATATACACAACATAAAACGGTATATTTCTCATTATTTGTACATTTTAAATAAATATAAGGTGTTGGGAAAACTCTTAACTTTCCATTAGCTCTCCTTTTACATGATGACTGATGTTTTTGCAAGTAGATAAAGGTTTGGGACAAAAGTAAAGTTACGTTTTGTGGTGGAAATGATCAAAAATAGATAAAATACTAATGTACTTTTAAGCTTATGTAAATTGTAATTTATGTATCCTGGCATTTTTAGTTAGTTTCTTATCTAGTAAGTGCAGCATGAATGGAAAAAAAAATGACGAAATGTGTATTTATTTTGCTTATTCCTGCTTGAAACACCATTTCATTGATAGTCGTATTTGCCTTTTCATTCGTTAAATAGGCGAGTTTTATAATGTTGATGCTGTATAAGAAGAGGTGAGAGATTGTTTGCCGTATGACGGGTTCCAAAGAATGAAGATGATTAGCTACTTATCAAAATATAAAATCTGGCTTTTATTAGAAGCGTAAATGAATGTTTGCTCTAAATGAGGTGGTTTTTCTAAGGTTGAGATGTTTTTTGTTTTCTTTTGTAGATCGTAACGATATCCAACATGCTGGCGTCCAGTACATTCTGGACTCTGTGGTGGATCAGCTGTTAAAGAACCCAGACAGACGGTTCATCTATGTAGAGACGGGCTTCTTCTACCGCTGGTGGAAGCAGCAGAGCTCCAGCATGCAGCAGACGGTCAAACAGCTGGTTAACGAAGGTACAGGACGCTGTGCTGGGACTGTGCATTAACCCCGGGAAGCGTTTGATTTCATTATGGCTGAACACTTTCCCCTCCAGGACGGCTGGAGTTTGTCAACGGTGGCTGGTGTATGAGCGATGAAGCCACCACACACTACAGCGCCGTCATCGACCAGATGACCATCGGACTGAGGTTTCTTAATGAAACCTTCGGGGTGTGTGGTCGTCCTCGCGTCGCCTGGCACATTGACCCCTTTGGCCACGCTCGCGAACACGCCTCCATGTTTGCACAGGTAGATCAATTTAAAACTTTTACAGAATGAAATTTGAATCAATATTTTATAAATGAGTGGCTATAAATAAATAAAATGAATTATAACTGTCGTAATTTTCAGACTAATAGCCTCACCTTAATATAAGCCGCAGAAGCTAAATTGCATGATTTGTACATATACAAGCCTCGTGGTAGAAGTCTGCTCCCGGAAGACCTCCACATTCCCGCGCGCACGGCTACCGTACTTGTGTGTTGAAGCAAATGTGACGTCAATATGGTGGATAGTAAAATCCATAGATTAAGGTATTACCCTAGTGGCCGTTAGCTGTAAAAGTCCATAGATGAGCCGCATTGTTATATAAGCCGCAAGGTCGAAAAATGGGAAAAAGTCGCGGTTTATAGTCCGAAAATTTCGGTATGTCCCTTCTTTAACCTAAACCAGTGTTTCCCAACTGGGAATATGTGTACCCCTAGTGGTCTGCGAGTGCATTGCAAGGGGTACACGAAAATATTTTATTTTTTAGGTAGTAAAACAGGATCCGTTTTGCTTTTGTGAGTAATTGAAAAATTAAACAAGCCTTAATCAACCAAAAAGTCAGTTTTTCATATGTTTGAGCTCAGCTTAAGCTTTGACACACATCAAAACCAGACAGGGGAACAGACTGGACGTAGAGAACAGCCTGGGATCAGCTGTTTTTCACACTGAGCTAGCTTGGTGAACAGTTTGTTTCCTCGACTCTACTCATTTAGGAAGACAGTTATGTATATGGAAGTTAAATGTGGCTCAGTGGGGAGAGGAATCCAAAAGCTGCAGGATCGATTTAAGCACCATAGTTAACCTACTAATCGGTGTATAAGTGTGTCTTTTTTGATGAGTGCGACTGGGTGAAGAAGTGGTCGTATTGTCTAGTCTAGTCTACTTACCATTGTGCCTTTCTAGAAATGCAGTAGACCTCCTGCAGAGAAAGATTTCCACTGTTAAAAAAAAAAATGCACAAATTAGATGTAATGGTTGCAGTGATCTGATCAAATACAATATTTGTTAACTCGTATTGTTCCTTTTTCTTCAAAGTTGTAAGATGTTATTTTGCTACCTGCATCAGGAAGGATCCCCATAGTGATCTGTTTTCGCATTACTGAAGAAGCCTCTAAATTATAATAACCAGGGTTTAACATTATGTTGGGTTTTTATTTCTTTGACTTTGGTTCCTTCTTTTTATTAAAAACACTTCAGAGGCTACAGAACATTTCCTGAGGTAGTTGAAGACCAGGATGGAGTGACTCTAATATCCAGAGAGCAGTGGAGCAGGGTTGGTGTCCGATCAGGAGAGAAGTGTGAACAGGTTTCTGAACCAAACCTATTAAAGATGTTCATGGTACTGGTTCTACGTCCATCTGCTCACCCCTGTCCTCGAAGCTGGATCTCACTCTCCACCTGTTTCATTGCACACTTTGGTTATTTCTGTGGCTTTGAGTTGTTTTTACGCCTCTTTTTATTTGTCGAGAATTTTAAATGGTCTCTGGTGATGCAGGGTTTTTGATGGGGAACTACACACTGGGGATGGTGTGGTGCACAGAGACATTCAAATCTTAAATAATGCCTTTAATCAGAGTTCGTCCCTGGAATCAATTATTGGGCCAGATATGTGCCTTTGCATTCAGAGCTCTGTTTGTCTGTGGTGTTCTAGATGGGATACGACGGCTTCTTCTTTGGTCGTCTGGACTACCAGGACCGGAATCGCAGAATGAAAGCAAAGGAACAGGAACTTCTATGGAGAGCCTCTGACAGCCTCACACCACCTATGGCCGACCTCTTCACTGGTTAAAATATATATACATAAATATCACTGCTTTAATTGGTAAACCTGCTGTTGTAGAATTTTAAAATGTCTTTTTTTTTCTTTTTCAAATTTAGGAATTCTGCCCAATGGATACAACCCTCCTGAGGGATTCTGCTGGGACCAGCTCTGCACTGATGAACCCATCAGAGATGACCCTGACCTTGAAGATTATAATGTGGACGATGTTGTTCAGCGCTTCCTTCAAGCAGCCAAGAGTCAGGTATGTCAAAATTTTTTAGAAGCTTTCAGCTGTTTTTCTCCCATTAGATAAGAAAGTAATGGTTCTGGTTTTGCTGCAAAGCAGATAAGATAAAGTGTGAATTTGGGTGAATTTCACACATTCAGCAAAATTGGACCATAATTAAACCCCCTTTTTTGTGCATATAAATAGAGAATTGAGACAGATTTAAAATGTAATCTTCCTTATAAACCTTGGTTCATAATCACTGTACTGTGTCGTCGTCGTCATCGCTTTCCTATTCATCCAGACCGTGTAAACCAACATGGCAGCCCCGTAACATTCAGGAAGTTTGCGGAGAGTCCGGTCACTAGATTGCGGTAATGTGGCTCCAATACAAACCTGTAATATGTAGAAAAAAGGGACACACACATTTTGAATATTAAACAGCCCTACTTACCCTCATATTTATTAAATAAACTTACAGTTTCAGAACGTGGGCGTAGGTTTGCATAGTGACCATAGGGACATGTCCCTACCAAAATTTTGGAAGGACCTATTTGTCCCTACCAATAATTGGATGTAAACAACATGTTTATAATTTACTATACAGCAGCCGCTTCTTTTCCTCTCGCAGCTTCTCTGCCTGGTAGCTGCAGCTGCCTGCTCTTTCCTGTCCCTTTCACATAGCAGCGCATCAACTGTGCTGCGCGGTTTAACTCTCTGATTATTCTGCCTTAAGTTCCGCCTTCTCTCTTTCTGATTGCGTGTTTTCTAGTCTGTATGTGCGCGCGCGCGGGTGCCTGGAGCGCGAAAAAAAAGACGCTAAAATAAATTAATATTGGGCTACGAAACTAGTCCAAATAAAAAAAAAATATTATCTACGCTAAAACAGGCGAAAGCTTCTGATTGGAGTTCTGTAAAGAAGCAGGAGAGAGTTTTTTGATTTGTGGAACTTGAGAAATGTAAGTTAACAACGTTAGGATTTCTTTTATTTTATCTTTTAATCAGATAGCCAAAGGCTCCTTAAAGAAGATCTTTTATGAAATGAAACCAGGTGAAACAGAAACGTTTAAACGTTTCCTTTGGAGGAGTTCTGGATGGAGAATATTGACAGACAAAAACTTTTTTTTTTTATATGTTTATATGTTTGCATATTTTTTACAATCTTGGTATAATTCCTGCTCTAAGTGGGTCGCTCTGTCGGCTAAAGGCACATTTTAGTGGCCCTATACTCCAGTTAACGATTAATCAATTACTAAATTAGTTCACGATTATTTAAATAATTTGTTAATATGATTAATTGTTTCAGCCATAGATAAAATACATGAAATTAGCTACACAGAGTAACTACAGCCCAGATGTACAACTTCTAATATTAATACTTTAAATGCTCAGTGTCAGTTCCTCTTATAGTTCCAGTGCACATGTAAATACAATACATTTATTTTCCGTCCCTTGAATGTATTATTTTGCATGATCCAGAGAGAGCATATTAGATACAAAAAATAAGAGTGGGTTTTACCTCTGCACAATTCTATATTTTCAGAAGAAAACACAGGATAAATCCACATATTATAGACTATATTTGGTTAAACAGACACTGTCTTAGTAGCAGGTAAATTTAAATGCAATCCTTTTCAAAGTGGAAAAAGTCCTAATTCCACATTCATCAGAGCCAGTTATGCTTTAAATATTGATAAACAGCATCTAGTGCATGTAGTGCTTATAAGATTTGTATTAATGTAGCAAGAAATGCTGCTGTTCTCTTTAAACAAAATGAGCCCTGAAGCTCCCATTAAGCATAAAAAAGAGCATAAATATTTTTGCAAAGGACCAATGAAACTGAAGAATAGTGTCCCTACCAAAGTTGAAATCAAACCTACGCCCTTGTTTGAAACTCAAAGTCTTGAATTTTAAAACAAAGATTAAACCTATTATAATAAAAGAATGACAATGTTTTATTAGAAATTATATTTAAAAATCTGAAAAGGCAAATATTCTAATTGTAACTAGAATCCACTGTTAGGGGCTATAGGCCCACAGATTTCAAACCAGAATATCTTTTTAAAAACAAACTTGGTTGCAGAGACAGTTTAAGGCAAGTTTGCAGCACCTCTTTAATAAAGCTTAAACCTGCTATGAATAGAAGAACCTCTTTACTGGAACCGATCTAATGATTTACCAAAAAATGTATTGTTTTTTTTTTTTTACTTTATCAGCAGATTTTCAAAACTCGCCTTTGCTTACCTATTTTTTTTTTTTTATTCATAATTTCCCTAAAGCATAATTTTTCTTTGTTTATCTTAGGCTTCAGTTTATAAGACCAATCACATCATTATGACCATGGGCTCAGACTTTCAATATGAGAACGCCAATCTGTGGTATAAAAACCTGGACAAGCTGATCCGTTACGTCAACGGGCGGCAGGCCAACGGGAGCAATGTCAACGTTCTCTATTCGACTCCATCCTGCTACCTGCAGGAGCTGCACCGAGCAAACCTCACTTGGTGAATTTATCTCAGAAATAAACCTTGTGGAGGAAGAATTTGAAGCCTGTTGACTGTAAATCTAAACAATCACATTCCTCCTCTTTAACCAGGTCTTTGAAGACGGATGATTTCTTTCCCTATGCGGACAATGCTCATAACTTTTGGACAGGATATTTCACAAGCAGACCAGCACTGAAACGTTACGAACGGATCAGCAACAGCAACCTGCAGGTAACTCACACTCATTGGTTTCTTTTGTAGAAAATCTTGGAAAGATTTGAGGCATTTATGAAGTGTTCAAAAACCTGTATGTGTACCTACCAAAACTTACTACTGTAATTACTTTTAACAGTCTTGTAATCAACTGGAGGTTCTGGGTGGTCCTGTTTCCAGAAAGGGGCAGTTTGGACGGGGCGACAGCGAGACTTTGAGTGGGTTGTTTTTTTTTTGTTTTTAAAGTAATGTATCAGTCTTACTATTATGTGTCTTTTACAGTAGAGTCTTTCCAATGTCTGGAATGGGCTCTACTGATTTCAGAACCTCTAGGTTACCCTTATATTGGGTCTTCAAAAATATATAAGTCTAATATTTTCTATTATATTCTATATTGCACAAGCTGCCAAATTAAAAACTTTCTAATGTCGGCTTGTCTTTCAATTAAAAATTATTGTAAAATTTAAAATTACAGCTTGGTAGTGTTCTATCAGCGTGACGTTTGCCTGCAGCTAACCTACCGATTCATTCTTCCATCATATCTGTAACCTGACGGGGTTCCTGGTATGCTTCGAAACATTTCAGAGACTGCAGTGTTTTGTCGAGCTTGTCTGCTCTGTCCTTTTGGAAGCACAACAACATTAAATACCATTTCCATTCTTCAGGCTCCAACATTTCCTCATCTGGCTCTCAATAGTGTCTAGTTCTTGTAGCAATTTGAATATTGTTATATTGTTTGTTTGTTTTTTTTAAATGAATAAATCTCTCCTTATGGTTTCCAGACTACTGTCTGACAGCAACTGTTCTTGCATTGATTTACAGGGAGAGCCATGGCTGTGGCTCAGCATCATGATGCAGTGTCAGGAACAGAGAAGCAGCACGTTGCTAATGACTACGCCAAGAGGCTAGCCAAAGGCTGGCAACACTGCCAGGTACTCAACAGACATAATCATACTTCCCCTACTTCCTTCCTGTATAAAACACTCCGTTTCATTGTGTTATTGTATATGGTTATTCATCATGCTGATTATGATCTAAAACAAGTACTTTTCCTGCTGCAACATGATTGTCTGCTCCAATTGACAGGTTTTGGTCAGTAACAGTTTGGCTTCCCTCACTGGATCCTTGGCTGAAAGAATCTACTGTGATAACCTCAACATCAGTGTGTGTCCTCTAACTGAATCCAGTAAAAAGGTGAACATACAGACGATAACATTTGTTATTAAATAACCTCCGTTAATACATTTAAACTCTTCTGTAATAATCATGTAATTATTATTATTAGCTGAGTGTTTTTGTTTGCCCCTTTCATTCAGTTCTCAGTCAGTGTGTACAACCTTCTGGGGCGGACTGTTAATTGGCCCGTCAGGCTGCCGGTCAATGGAACAGCATACAGCATTACTGATGCTCAAGGAAAAGCTGTGGACTGTCAGGTTTGGATATACATCCACCTATACATACCAATCTATATCTCACTTATTACTTTAAAGGTATTGTGGAGGATTTTCACGAATTTTTGAAAAGGCCCGCCCTCTCCACTTAAAAAAAATATAAAAAATTGCACATGTACAACCCTGTACCTGCTCTTTAGAGGAAACGCCTATTAAACGCCTAAGAGAGCATGCAGGAGCCCATTTCTCCTCATGCACGCTTTGTTTAAAAGTTGCTGTTTGCATCATTCATACAAGCTTACTTTCCAAAAGAAGATTTGCTTTTTTTCCACTATGTCAGACTCACCACCGGTAAGTGAAAATGGGGAGGAGCACGTAGGACGGCCTTACGTAAACGTATCACTAGAATGATTGACTATTAGGAGGACCACTTATTTTGAAAATCCATGCAGAAAAAGAACATCCTCCACTATACCTTTAAATCTTTGCTAGAGGAGTAATAAATACACCTAGATGATTTCGAGGAGAATCTGAGTAACCTTATTACTGTTTCTGTGTTTTAAAGGTGCTTCCAGTGTCTGAAGCCACTCAGGAAGTAAGGAGGAATCAGGGCTTTGCCCGCAATGAGCTGGTGTTCCAGGTTCAAGCTCCTCCTCTTGGTTTCAGCACCTATACCATTTCCCTGCTAAAGGATAGACCATCTTCATCTTTACCTCGGCCTGCTGCCCCCAGTGTCATCCAAAATAAGGTATACGCCATCAACCTCTGTATGGAGGAAATTATATCAGCTCAGTAAGGAACTGACTCTGACATGAGCATAATGAAGCCAAAAATGAATTGTTCCTAATTAATATAATCTTTGTTTTACAGTTCCTGCAGGTGACCTTTGACCCTCAAACCGGCCTCTTGACTGGTCTTAGCAACCTTGAAACCAAACAGACAATAAAGCTCACACAGAATTTCTACTGGTTAGTGTCTCCTCATTAAACGTAAACCTGGAACAGGTTTAAACGAGTTTTGTTGTCCTTTTACCTCTAAATGATTCACGTTTTTGTGCATGCGGGGTATTTAAGGTATAATGCCAGTGACGGCAACAACTATGAGAGCCGGCAGACCTCTGGAGCGTACATCTTCAGACCGAACTCCTCCACCCCTGTCATGGTGGCCAGCAAGGCTAAAGTGGAGAGCTTTCAGGTAGAGTGAGCAGCATCCCACTTAATCGGATTAACTTGATCATCTGAAACTTCAGTCTTTTCTTCTAAGTTTGACCAAATAAATCAGTTTAGTTTCTTGGTAAATCAGATTATAAAGTGTTTTAAGACACTTACTGTGTCTGAAATGGACCCGTAGTAAAGTTTTCATGTTCTGTCCACAGAACTCAGTGGTGCAGGAGGTCCGGCAGTGGTTCGCTCCATGGGTGTCCCAGGTGGTTCGTCTTTATGCTGATAGCAGAGCTGTGGAACTGGAGTGGACAGTAGGACCCGTGCCAGTAAAGTAAGTATTAACCTTACTGTTGGTGGCGCCAGTGTAGGGTTGTCAAAAGTATCGATACTCAAAAAAGTATCGATACTGAAACGTTGTATCCGGATTCAATACTGGTTTTTAAAAGTATCTATACAGTGCTACCACCAGTGGCACCTAAGCAGTCATTCATCTAAAGTGCAGAATAGAGGAAAATGCACTTTCTGAACACTGTGTGATTGAATAATTCTGTGCACTTTTCAGTTTCAGACTTTTTTTTTTGTAAGAGGTGCAGCTGCTGAGAATAATTTTTGTTTCTTAACCGGTTTGGCTAGTGTCATTGTTATGTGTGCAAAGCATAGCCAAAGAAGGAAAACTTAATTTTAATTTTATACGTTTTTTTTATCAAGCTTGCTTAATATTGTGCACAGCATACAACCTTTATTGTATTTATTTATTGTATTTTATTTATTAATGAAAATATTTCTGTAGAATTTTGGAGTCTTTGTTTTTATCCTTGTGGTATCGAAAATGGTATCGAGTATAGAATATTTTCCTTAGTATCAGTATCGACTTGAAAAGTTTAGTATCGTGACAACCCTACGCCAGTGTAGGGCAGCCTCGCTTCTGTCAGTGAACCTCAGGGCAGCTGTGGCCACAATGTCATTTACCAACCTCCAAAAAGCAAATACTTGTGAGTTAGGAAACATATCTGTAAAGTTAAGCTGTTTCAAATGTGTTGTTCATGTCTCCTGCATGAACATATATATATTTTTTCATCATCTACTCTCCATCTGTTAGTGACAGACAGGGGAAGGAGGTCATCACCCGCCTGGACACCAGTATTAAAACCTCAGAGTTTTTCTACACTGATTCCAACGGCAGAGAAGTCCTACAGAGAAAGTAAGGAGAGATCAAAATCTTTTGGAACAACTAGTGAGGAAAAGCTAAAACGGTAGTTCTGTTGTATTATTCTGATTTTGTTTCCAACAGGAAAGACTTCCGTCCTACATGGCAGCTGAAGCAGACTGAGCCCATAGCTGGAAATTACTACCCCATCAACTCTCGTGCCTTTATTAAGGTCCTATTTTTTTTTCTTCTTTTTCCCAATAGTTTTGTCGTTTTTTTTTTTTTTGTATTAAATGTTCTGCATTTCTACTAAAAGTTTGCTATATGTGTATTTTTAGGATGACGTGAACCAACTCACAGTGGTGACGGATCGGTCACAGGGAGGAGGGAGCATAAACAATGGATCTCTGGAGATTATGGTAAGACATTTGCATTTTATTCCTTGGAAAAAATGAAAAGGGTTATTTTTGTTGAAAACAAACAATAGAGATGAGCGTGACAGATGAGGTGTCAAAGTGTTTTATTTTAATTTTTTTCTATTATCACACATCTAGGTGTATCTAAAACACACCTTTTATTGGTCTAAACCCTGAATATATGCTGCCGCCACTCTCAGTAAAACCCAATTTTTAACATGGAAGTGATTAATTAACTTAACCAGTTTAATTGCTTCATATTTTTATTTTAGATATTTTCTGTAGTCATACTTTAGATGTGGTTAGTAGCCCGAGTTCAGAGAAGCTTTCTGTGCATTTATTTTTTAATCTATTTGCTTAAATATTATAAAGGAAACTGCCTGGAAAATTAACAATGGTCTACTGCAAAATTAATGTAGATGACTTTTTGCTGCAGTGAATATATATATATATTTTTTTTTATCTTATAATAAATATTTTTTTTTTTACTTTTTTACAATCTTTACTTACAATTCTATCCAGCCTTGTTGTATCAGTGTTGGAATAGATCTCTTCCTCCTCCTCGCATATATTTGATTTGACAAAAAGAAATGCTATGTTTCATGAAAAAAACTAACCTCTCTCTCCAGCTCCACCGCCGGCTGCTGTACGACGATTACCGTGGGGTTGGTGAAGCTCTCGATGAGAGCTCTGAAATATATCCACACGGACTGATGGTTCGTGGTCGCCTTCTCCTCTCCCTGGAGCCTCCTGCCAGCGCTGCAGACATTCACCGTCCCCTGGCCCAGGAGGATGTATCACAGCCGCTGCTGTCATTTACTGACGGAAGCCTGAGCCCTAGCTCTCGACTGGAGGTAAACAGGCGGCGCAGGGCTATTTATTCTAAACTGATCTCAGCTTCTCTCTTTGCTGTCGCCTCTGTTACACATTTATCCAATCTTCATATTGTGTATACAGATGAGGTGTTAGCTGTTCAGTTCAATACTGAATGAACCAAATTGTTTAAAAGGACATAAAAATGTGATTAGAAATTTCTACTGTTAGTTTTCAGGTCTTCAGGCTTCACTCCCCCCGGCTGTCCATCTGCTGACTCTGAGCCAATGGGATGAGGACTCGGTCCTGCTGAGGCTGGAGCATCAGTTCCAGAGCTGGGAGAGCAAAGTGAACTCTCAACCCGTCACAGTCAACCTTCAGGTCAGATTTAATTAAAAATGAAAAACCTTCTAGAAAATATCTTATTAATCATTTCTGAAGTATTTTATTGTGTTACAATTAATTTTGAAAATAGTGAGCTGGTAGTACGTTTCATAAGTAGCTGGTTCAGTGGGGAAAAAAAAAAAATCTGAATGTATATTTACATTTTTATTGCTGGTTCTTTTTTTTTGTGCAGAAGCTGTTCTCTAGTCTGGATGTTCTGGGTTTTTCTGAGCTGAACCTTTCAGCCAATCAGTGGAAAGATCAGATGAGCCGCTTCGATTGGACTCCTGAGAAAGGTACAGGACACTCAAACCTAGTGTGGGCTAGGCTGGGAGTATGTTGGCACGATATTGAAGCCCCTTTCCGTTGGCTCTTCCTAAACCGGCTCCACCACACTCGGCTCATTTTAAGAGTTTCAATGACTGATTTGATGGAGCAGAGCTTAACAATTTCCCAATTTGAATCAGTGTGATCAGCTGATTGTTTGGAGAAAAGGTGGAAAGAGTTGGCCTTGTTTTAGTATTTTCACCTTTTGGTTTTATGCCACTTTGTTTTAAAGGGCTTTATAAATAAAGTTGAGCTGAGGTAGTGGAGCAATTGAAAATCCATGGAGTTTACTGCACACTTAAGAAACTGTGGGGGGGAAAAAAGCTACAAATGTGTTATAAACTGCAGTGGCCTTTGTGAGTCGAGCTCGGACATTGGTTCAAAGGTCATATTACAATCTTAAGGTGTCTAATAAGGTTTATGAAAGAAAAAACTAATTTAACCATTTATAAAATAAGTTACCGTACCTGTTTAAAAAAAACAAGAAAACATGAAAAAAGATGAACCTGATGAGCTTTTTTGTAAAACAACATACATGAGTTAATCACTCTCAAAATCAGGTGTTCAGACGTACCTACCTTTCTCGAGAAGTGCACAAAACAAAGCCGCCATGAAACGGCTCATGAAGTAATCCATATTAAAAAAAGAAAGCATCTCTGGAGACTTGATAGGTTCAGAGTGAAGAAATAAAGAAAAAGGGGTGTTTGTAAATATACGTAGCCAGGTTTTCTGCAGCTTGCATCATCGAACTTATCATTTAGTTAATCAGTGAAAGGGATTCAAACTATAATTAATCTTTAAACCATCCAGTCAGTTTCCTAGACTTCACTTGCTGATAATTATGGGCACTTTTAGCGTAGTTTGGTGTGAAAGGCTACTTTCAATAAGCTAACATCACATATCGGTACCGAACTAAGGTTGGATATTTTTAGTTAATACCAGTTCCTTTCTGTAGAAAAATGTTTAACGAGTTTTGCATTAGAAATATTGGAATTTAATAGCTGACCTAGAGTTGTCATGCAGTTTGAAGCTTACTGTATATTTTAAGAAAACAAACGATGTGAGACAAAGTAGTTCTGGCTTAATTTAAATTGTCCTAATGTCACATTTTAAAAGGTGCACTGCAGGAACCTATTCAAATTTCGTCTGTTTCGTCTTCATAATTTACTCACCAAACTAGATTTTGTCACAAAAAGTTTTCAGCAGTATTAAATCATTCTGTATTTATAAAGCACACGACTGTCACAACAATCGGCTGTGCTATTTTAATTCTTCAATGCTGAGAACTGCTGCCTCATTACAATCAGTACTGCGCAGAAAAATTCCCTCCAGGTAGCAATTAAACTGATATGAGCCATCAATTAGCATTATACAGCAGGGTGATTTTAAAGAAATTGTTTTCTGTTTAGGGAGGGAACTTTGGTTCAGCTGGTTTATTCGATGCTAAAAAACATGAAGCAGATTTTCCAAGATGTGCTTTTTTTATTTATATATATATATAATTTTCTCCGAACAGTCATTTGTTTGTTTTTTAACTAAGCTGCATCTGTTTTCACAGAAGAGAAGCCACTGCTGAAGACATTTGCGAATCCTTCTGTATGGGAGGTCACCCTGAGGCCCATGGAGATCCGAACCTTCTTGCTCAGGGTCAAGTCTAAGTAACTGATCATGTGCATCAACCTGAGTTAAAATTCCATCTGCCTTTGTCTCAAACAGGGGGCTCCTTAAATACCACTAAATTTACAGAAAAGGGAGTTTTCTTAGTAAATAAGTTGCCTTCATACATCTTGTTTTACTTTTTCACCAGTTACAGTAACTTGCAAAAAAATCATTGCCACTCTTATTGATCACATTGATTGTTTTTCATAGATCAGCTGCCTCACATAGACATATATCAAAGTCTGAATAAAAAAATAAATAAAAAAATCTGTACCATACTATTGGTTCACTCACATCTGTAAATCTGTAAACAGCAGAGCTTTTTATTAGAGCTCAATGTAGCCCTATGAGCCACAGAAAAACAATTCCCAGAGATACAAGCCATGGTGCCTTTCATTAAAGCTGCTCCTCGCCATCATTAGTCAAGTTTTCGTATTTTGGCAGCAAATTCTTATCAGAATAACATTTCGTGAAACTGCTGTTATCCTCCTTTCAGAAGACCTATTGCACAAATTTAGCTTGGTCGATTTGCAGGATGCAGAAATAAAGGATATTGGATGTTTTAAGGGAACTCGAATATAGAGATTAGACTGTTTATTCAAATGGTCTTAAGTATTTTAATAGAGAAAGGCAACAAGTCAAATCAAGATAAATTGGTAACCTAAAGCAATCTTTCTGTAATAGAGGGTTTGTCCTTCTACTGCCACCTTGTGGTAGCAACAATACTTTGCCATTCCAGTATCTCCACTATGAATGACACTGATCATCACTAGTACTGACAGATATAGCCTGATAAATGTATGTCTAAAAGAACCTATAAACATTTTGAAACTTTCCAACTGAATGTCTTTCCATGAGATGTGGATCAGGTGCACCACTTCAACCTTTTGTATTTAGAACAGCAAATAACGCATAAACGCTGAAAGTCGGGAGGGAAAAAATGTTACAGGGTTGCTAAAACATTTCTTGATGCACGTTGCTAGAATTTTCTGTTGATCTTTTTAGAAAACATATTTCACAAAATAACTGCAGACATTGATTTGTAATTCTGTAATCTGTAAGGTGCTATCATTGTTTTTATCACCTGATGTAGCTAAAATCACCTCTTACACATTTATACCAGATTTTTCTTCACTGGAATATTCTGGCACTATGAACAGACCCTTTAATGAAAACAGATTAAAAAAAATGTACAGTTTGTTAACTCTAAACCAGAGCAATTAATAAAATCCTGTCTGGTTTTTAACCACAGATCAGTGTAAAGCGCAAAACCTGTGAAATTATCCTCAGCCAATGATCTGGACTAAAACTTCAGCACTACTGAAGAATAGGGAATAAAAAGATAAATAAATTCTATTCTTGGTTACATGAAGTTTCTAGAAAATATTGTCCCCAGTCAAAGTTTTTTTTTTTTCTTGAATTATCTAGACCTGGGAAATAAAATACTTCCGAGACCTGCCAGAACACATTTTACACATCTATTCTTTCATTTCTTCCACATTGTAAAATGTATGGACCATGTGTAAATGTGTAAACCATTTCTAGAAGCAGGTACAGAATATTTCAGTCTGTGGATCAAATCCCATCTTTAATTTTTACCAGCTGCCAAATTGTACTGATGAAACCGTTGTGCAATAAATTCTTTTCTTTTCTACTGTATGTATGTGCTTTTTTTTTACTTTTCAAAAAGAATCTAACTTAATATGCTGCTGCTGTGGTGACTGTTCTAATCACCAAAATTTGTCTGTGTTTTGATGAAATGTTGATAAAAAGCTGAAGATTTGCTGGCTTCTTTCTGTGTGCAATGGTGAAATGAAATGATTACAAAAGTGTTTCCAGAAAAGTTCCCTGAATAACTTTAATACATCCAGAAAATTGATCTTTAAGTGAGGCCTGTTACATTTGGACATATGCAGCATGTTCTTGTAATTTATTTCAACTTAAAAAAAAAAAATTTGGCATAACCAGAAATTTCCATTCAGTTTAGACGTCCAAAACAATCTAACCTCCAGAGTATCCAGACTCCACTAGAGCTTTTAAACTTAAAATGATTAAACTTGAAACTATAATAAGTCATTCAGCTTTCTCATCACTTTTCTGCTCCTCATCATGGGAATAGGAGCAGCTGTCTCCGTGTGTGCATGTTCCCTAAAGAAGAATACAAACAGGATCAGAACAAATGGTACATTTATGACCCGTAAGGTACCTTCTAAATGCTACAGCTGAATGACTTTAGTCATTCTGCCACTGAGGCAGATTCCTTATGATGATCTAACCTGTTTGAACTTCTTGCAGGGGAAATTCTTCAACTGTGACGAGTCTGTGATCTGGTTCTTTCTTTTGTTCTGGAACTTCTTCCTTTTATCCTGCAGATTAGTATTGATACCACCCCTGGAAGAGAGGTTAAAAAGTTAGCAAGAAGCTTAGGAGGGTGGAAAGAAATTAACGGGATTACTACTAAGGCCATCTTTCAGATTGTTCCTTTGTTCCACCATCTAAACAATCTTTGTGTCAATTAGAAATAAAAAGGTCCTGAAACAGATCTACAGCCCTTGGGATCATAAAAGAGAGCAGTTTCCAAAGCTGTATAAACCCTAGGTGAGTACTGCAGTTACAACCTTTGATTCCACTGTCTGATCCCAGCACCAAGATCAAAACACACACAGCCTGTGATCTTGGCAGACTGACACATGAGGTGGAAATACTAAATGATCTTGCTCTGAAGGTTTACTAGTACTTCATAGAGTATCTAAAGACAAAATGGGAGGCAGCACCCTTAGTATCAGGGTCCTCTCCTGATGCTTTAGGCTATGAAGCAGAAACTTGGTCCAATTTAAGATTTGGGTAACTAGATTCCTTTGTGATAAAATTTATAGACCAGCTTGGGTTATCCTTATGCGTCTTACTAGCTATGCTGCCGTAAACTTAACCTGCTGGAGGACATACTGACTACTTTTCCTCACCCAGCTGCATTTTCCTAATACTCTCCAAAGATTACTATAACAAACTTTATACACTGTCCCCTTTTCCCCCCATAAATGGAGAATTATTTCTGTTTAGCTATGGCAGGGTTCCTACAGCATAAGGCAAGTTAAATTCAAGACTTTTTAATGCCACTTGTAATAAAAATTTAAGACCAAATTCACAAGAAAAATCTGCTTGCGACATTTTAACCCAAAGGTTTATTTTAACATAAACCACTGAACTAATGTTTCAAATTTTGAAAAGCTTCCCATACAGGAAGAAAGCTAAAAACACAAATGACAGATATATTTGAGCAATTATTTAACTGAATTCACAAACTTTGTTTTAGCAGGGAACAAAACAAATCAGTTTTAAAGCCACAACATAACCGGTGCTAAGTCTTTTTTGCAGCCATTTTTCTTTGTATCGTTTTCTTAGTATGTTTGATTTGGTGATAAGTGGAGGCGTTGCAGAGACAAGGGTGGAACAAAACTGAGAAATACCGGCTGTTTCTCGGCAACTCCATTTTGACGCTTTGTGTTTCGCATGTGCGACTCCACTGCCTTAATTCCCATCGTTCCCAGCTTGAATCGCTTCTTGCACAAAATGCACTGTGCCTCATGTATGTTCCCTTGTACTGGTTTTAGCCATGGAGAAAACTCCATTCCGCTATCGGGACGGAACCAATAATGGCGAGCCGTTATTTTTTATAAATAAAAAAGATAATAATTTGTCAATTTTAACGTTTTATTTAGATTTAAAAAAATAATAAAAATAATCCTATTTATGATGATTTAAAAATTAAGACATACGAAAGACTAATTTAAGACATTTTAATACCAATTAAGGCCGTAGTTTTATTTTGAAGAATTCAATGCCTTATAAGACTTTTTAAGGACCCGCGGGAGCCCTGTATGGCTCCTTCGAAGGGTCAATGGTCTGAGCTGCTCTGCCACATCTTCAGCAAACCTGACTCCATCTTTCAGACAGCAATTAAATGAGCTGTTAAAAGAATAAATATATGTACTCAATTTTCCATCTTACTGATTTTGAACAGCTGTATGGTCAATATTTTATAATTAAAGGTAAAAACCAGAAAAAAAAACTACTGTAGACTGTCACAACATGCTTGCTAAGGAAAAGGGATTACTGCAATGTCAATGACTTGATGCAAACTGAGTGGTTTTGATGGACAAATTTACCAATTTGCAAACCTGATCTTTACTGCAGTATTTTATAATTTGGATCAAATTGAAATGATTTTACCCGGCTGATTTTGTCTGCATGATTCAATCACATAAACCGATAGACCTAATGTGCAAAAGTAACCAATGATGGAAAGATCAACTTCATTTTACCCACTGAAAAACATTACCAAAGTAGTTTTATAGTCAATTTTTTCTTTAGATCCATACAAACAAAAGTGCAAACTCCTCATTTTAGATTTACTTTAGTTTTTTGTTTTTTTTTTATAATATATACACATAATTTGGGGGTTGCTCAGTAGCGCAGCGAGTAGCACCCTGGCCTGGGGTCTTTCTGCATGTTCTCCCTGAGCATGCATGGGTTCTCTCCAGGTACTCCGACTTCTTCCCACAATCCAAAACATGACTGTTAGGTTAATTGTTTTCTTTGGTTGTGATCTAATTTTAAGTGGATTAATTGCACATATTTATATACTTTATTGGTTTCTGTTCATTTTGAAGATTATGACTTGTAGCAATTGAAAAGCCCAAATTATTTAAAAAATATAAGGAAATTAAATGTAAAAAAATCTTTGTGAAATAGAAATTCGATGTTATTTGTTACACAATCATAGAAGAGACAGTTGTCCAGCAGATTCAGCCTTCCTCAGTAGGGTAAGGTCATCTCTAATGAGGTAAACCAATCAGGTTGTCTGTCCTTTCAGCTGCTCCTGTTTTCAGAGGTCACCACAACAAGTCATTATGGTTTGCTCAGAGCCTTGGAGAAGTTTTTACGTTGGATGCCCTTCCTGAGGCAATGAGGCTTCATACTACGGTTTCCCGCATTACAGCTCATAGCTCTATATTCAAGCATATTAACAGAAATTTAAAAGGAAGAAAATCTTGCACAACCATAAATGATAATCTAACTGATTAGAAGCGCCTTTATGTCCGAGTGTGTGAGTTACCCTGCTTTTGCTCGAGCTTTGGGCCCCCAGAACGCCTGAGGATTCTCCTGGAAACGGGTCAAATGGCGTTTACGGGACTGAGGGTTTGCATCCTCTCTGACTGTGAAGCAGGCTTCAAGGCTAAATACAAACATTATAAATACATCAGGTAATCTGATTGGACAACAGTTATTCCAACACTGATTGAAAACACCTTCATAAACCTCACCTGGGTTCAGTGGAGAGGATCTTAAATGCAGGGCTGGTCTGAGACAACTTCTCCCTTTTTACCGGATTTGATTTCTCCTAACAAAGATGAGAAAACAAAATACATGATGGATTCTTTTAGACGGATTTCTGTTGAACGAGAATAAATCAGAATTCAGTTTTGATTTCTGAACCATCTACCCAGCATCGCATGATGTCCCAGATGACTCCAGGAGGAGCGTCTGTCTTAACGCCGTTTTTACAGGCGTGAGAGAGAGAAACCCTGTGACCAGCATGAAGGAGAGCTGACCTGCAGAGAGATGACATCATCAGTCCAAGACCAACGTGGGGCTGCAAAATTAAACTATTATATCCTTACAGATTAAGGCAGATTAGATCAGTTGATCTACTCAGAATAGAATATTTTAGATACTTGTTTAAAAAAATAATTTTTTGTAATTGGGGCGTACAGTTAACCAATGGGGGATATAATATGCAACCCACAGCTTTGAGTCACAATTGAACAAAGTCTCTAGATGCTAACAATTTTGAATCTCCTCAATAAGATGAAAGTTTTGTTTTTCTCCTTTATAAACTTAAAAAATTATCATATGCGTTTGTCTTTGGGGCTTTAGTAGACTGCTATGCGTAATGCTAATTAAAATAACGCAGGAACTGTGCACAACAGCATCTAAGGCTACGTTCATACTGCAGGCCTTAAACCTCAATTCTGATTTTTTTGTGAAATCGGATTGTTTTCCGTTGTTGTTCACATTTCCAAATATATGCAACCTGTATGTGATGTCATAAGCGTCTCCGTGTTTATGGAAGTAAACATGGATGGTAGTGCTGGAGCGAATCTAGCGATCTTTCCTAACCTCAGCCAGTGTATTAACAACACAATCTTTTGCAAGATGGTTGAAAATAAACACCCCATTTACACTACCCTTGAAAAATTGATCCATGCCGAGACCGGCCTGAGCTCGATCTGCGGTATTACTGCCAGTATTAAAGCTGAAGTCTGTAAGTTTTTAAAAATCACTTTTTTGTCATATTGGCTAAAACTGTCCCTATGCCCTGACAGCAGTACATGTGATATGTAACCTGTGAAAAAAACTGTTCCAATTGGTACCGCCTACTGCCTGTATTTAAATCTGGAAAGAATAATTTGGGACGAGTCAAAACAACCAATCACAGCCAGAGGAGCGTCTGATGGAGTGTCAATCACAGCTCACACACGCTGAATCCCGCCCCCCAGTCAAAGTCTGCTCTCTCCTCAATGTTACAGACTGCAGCTTTAAAGGAGGAAATCAGGCAGTTGGTTGCACCAAAAGTTGTTTGCCAACCACCATAAAACAAAACAAGTATACGACGAAAAAGGAGGGAATCAAGCAAATCAAAATGGCGGTGCCCGTCACATTCAGAAAATTATGCTTGATTATTATTGCTGTACTTCGGTTTTTGCGGAGTGTCAGGCGAAGACGGCAATTTTTCGTGGATTTACTTGAGAAAGTCAGCTTTTGTTTAATAGTTGTTGGTCTTCTTCTGTTTTGTGTCGGTTGGCAAGCAACTTCCATAGGGGCGTTACCGCCAACTACTGGAATGGAGTGTGAATCGGAACGTGCAGCCAGACGGAGATGATGCGTTCTGCTCATGCGTTCTTGTTATCAGAGAACCAAGCCAGGGAAAAACCGAGCCGAGCCCACCTCTGGAACTGGTCTGCAGTTAATGTGGTCCGGTTGTGTCTAGCTCGGTTCAGTTCAGGTTGCTTTCCATTTACACACACTAAGTTATCTCAGTTACTGAGCTCAGACCGGTCTCTGTACGGTTTTTCAAGGGTAGTGTAAATGGGGGAAAAGACTGCTCTGTTCTTTTTTTTGCTGTTTCTGCATATTAACACCTAGAATAGTGACCTTTGTCAGGTATTAATGACGAATGCGACCTGGCCGTTCACACACAGGTCGCATTTGAAAAGATCAGATTCGTATTGAATTCAGGACCACATAGCCAAGCGGCCTGGGTCGCATTGGAAAAAAATCTTATCTGTGTTGTTCAGACTGCCATGAAAAGATCAGATCCAGTTTGCGTATGGACAAAAAAAATAAATATAATCGTATTTGGGTCACGTCAGGCTGCTTTGTGAACGTAGCCAAAGGCAGAGCCTACCTGAACTGGAGCAGAGACGGAGTATTACAGTGTATCGTGCTGCTCAGATTGTCCACTGTGTAGTAAAGCGGCACGTCTTCCAACTCCTGAAACAAACATAACAGAAAGCATTCATCATTCAGACTCTAATGTGATCATGCTGCCTGATAATCTCTGGAAACCTACCTCGGTCACCATGCTGAGCATGCCCTCAATACGTTTAGAAGTTCCAAATCTGGAAGGGTTCCCCGACACGGCGGCTAAAACCTTCTGAACAAACTCCAGGTCGTGGATGGCTTCAGCCCAGATAGGACCACCCAGCTGCAACAGGCAACCCACAGACTAAGTGCAATAAAACACATGTTTACACAGCAATTAACACAAACCAGCCTAGCTCTTCCAACATACCGAATCAGCTGTTAAAACACTTTGGATTACTTTCCTATTTAGTAAACACAAAGAGAGACTAAAAAGTGAATGTGAATATCAGTGCGCTGATGTGTGTGTGCCACCTGGTGTCTCTGTCCACAGTGCTCACACTCTGGTCCAACGGGGGGTCCGGTGGCAGCAGAATACTTCATGCTGAAACCACAGAATTCCACTTTAACACAAAAATACTTGCAGTGCGATAACAGCACACATGGCGAGGAGAAATAACGCTGAAACAATCAAAATTATTTGGAAAATCTGACAAAAGATGCACGACAAATGGAAGCTCTTTAATAAACATGTACGTGTTAGAAAATCAGTTTATGCTTGCAGTGCAAAGAAAGTATCAGTTCTGCTTTCTCAGATCAAATAGTTAATAAATACTCTCCAAGAACAGAGAATTACAGTACATTCTAGAAATCAAGGCTGATAGAGTAGGGGTTAAGTTCTAACTGGAAGGTTTAATATTTCAGAGGAGGTGCAGACCTCCCAGGTCGTCTCTCCCACTGTCAGGAAAAAAAAAGGTGCAGCCCTGAATGCATCAAGAATAAGCTGCAAGAACCACCAGGCACCAGCACCAAGAACAAGAGAGAGAGTTAATTCGTGTGGATACAGGTTTCTGCTGTCCTCAACTATTCAGCCAACTCCTCTGTTTACTCATCAAAGCTTTACAACCAGAGCAGGACTGCGATCACACTTACTGTTTTCCATTGCTAATTCTTCTGCCCATCCTCTGCATGTGGAAGGAGCCACAGCCAACGCAGTTGTACACCAGAGCCTGTTTGCTGCGACACGGAGAAACGGACAGAGGGAATTTTTACATCATGATTGTTTTTATTCACAGTGATTATAAGAGTAAACAGCTTGTTTATATTATTCTGTATTGGCACTGACTGAATTGACCATCCGTCCCAAACAGCTGATGCTCTTACTGTTACAGCACTAAATGTTTTAGCTGTTAAAAATGTGTTTTTTTAAATGTTTATTGTCATTTACTGTTAAATTCAAAATTCCTTATTATCTTCTTTTTTTTGCTTTCAACACATTTTTTATTTTTCTCATGTCCAACAAGAACATTTGATCACACACTGTAATATAAATTAAATAGTCAAATCAATAAAATAAATAGAAAAAATAAAAAGGTTAATAATTAAATTACTTAGATTTAAGATTCTTTTTTTTTTTTTGCCCTTGAGTGAGAAATAAAAAGCAAAATAATAAGTTAGGTTTTAGGAGCTGCTTTATTGTTAGTATTGTTTGTTACCGGCAAGCAGATTCCCAACTATTAGAAATACTAAAAATATTACATTTAAAGTATTTAAACATAGTTTCAAAAAGTAAGGCCCAATTTAACTAATTTGTTTGTTTTTAATGACCTTTTTTTCAACCAAAATTGATTTTTTAAAATGGTTTATAATAAATCTGGAAACATCTTTAAGCAGAGAATTTAAAGAGGCAAAAACAAAAACGTTAATTAAATATATTTAATGGGACTAATCTGAAAAGCTAGCTTTCAATTAACTGGAATTATTTGAAAATAAGTGTGTTAAGCTTCCAATAAAGAAAATGATATATAAAATGATCTAAACAAACCTGCTGTAATGAGGATAAAGCTTATTGGAGGAACACACTTTTCTATTAGTTATGTTTTTCAGTGTCCTCATTTGGGGATCTCAGGTTCTGCTTCCCGGGTTTGTTTCAGCAGTGGCCCAGTTTCTCCATCATTCATCTTTCATCATACAGCATATCCAGCCTTTGTTCACAGAAGGTTTCCATATTATGCTGTGTGAGTGAGACAGAGAGCGTACCTGGCAGAGTTTTTGACAGTAGCCTGTCCCGTGAAGACTCTTACAAAGACTCGAATATAAAAGTCGGCACTGATGGACAGCAGCGGCTGGATGTAGCGCTGGTACACTCCTGCCCGCTGGTCCAAACTGTGGAGGATGATACGAAGAGCCTGCAGAAGAAGCAACAGGTGACCACAGCTGCATTCTACATGATAATGATCACACCTTGATTTAAGAAATCGAATTAGTTTAAAAGCTTGTTTTTTAAAAGAGCGAATCTAAAACGCTTCACTTTTACTCTATTTAAAGGCAAAGTTGAGGGTGTTCTTTTTCAAGGTGGATCCTTTAAATAAGTACTCATACTCGTACTCGTCGTCTCCCGCTTTATCCGGAACCGGGTCGCGGGGGCAGCAGACTAAGCAGAGACTCCCAGACTTCCCTATCCGCAGACACCTCCTCCAGCTCTGCTGGGGGAAGCCCTAGGCGCTCTCAGGCCAGCCGAGAGACGTAGTCTCTCCAGCGTGTCCTGGGTCATCCCCTGGGCCTCCTCCTCCTTTAAATAAGTGGTCCTCCTAATTGGCAATCATTCTGGTGATATGTCTACGTAAGGCCTTCCTACGTGCTCATCCCCATCTAGCTATCTTTTTATCAGGCATCCCCAAACTCGGTCCTCGAGGGCCGCTGTCCAGCAGGTTTTAGAGGTTTCCCTGCTTTAGCACAGCTGATTATCATGATTGCAGTAGAGCTGAAGCCTGTTAATCAGCTTTCAATTAAAATCAGCTGTGCTGAAACAAGGAAACCTCTCAAACCTGCAGGACAGCAGCCCTCGAGGACCGAGGTTGGGGATGCCTGTTTTTATGCTCATGCGCACTTTTATGTGGTGAGCTACGGTGTCAGCCTGTCATTGAAGCTCACCTTTCTCACTGCGGTTCTATGAAAATGGCCGGGGATCGTAAGAGAAAAAGTGTCAACGAAGTGCATGAGAAGAAGAGGAAGGCATCAGAGGAGAGAAACAAGACCAGAGTGTTTTTGGGAGATTCTTTCACACAATGGCGTACACAGGTCGGGCTTCCCACTGATGCCTCGGCTGCAAAGTACTCGACAGGTAAAGTTTGGCATGCCATTTGGAGATATCCTTTTTACATCACTGCTAGTAAAAGTTATCTAACTCAATATTGTTACTTTCCAGGGAAGATAAGTTTATTTATTCTTTAAGTTGCATAGTAAGTAGATATACATAGGCCAAAGATCCTTATTTACCATAAACCAGTCCAAATTTCCGCTGCAGCACATGCATACATATCATGTCAAGATTTTTTTAGCGGTCTTATTTGCGGGGAAAATTTTTGTATATAAATATGGGTGAAATGAGATCCATCCGAGCGACTGTCTTATCATTGCGTCCCCGCACCTCCTTGAGTAGAAGGTTGTGTGCGCTCTCGCACGAATTCAATAGGCGTTCCCTTTCAGTAGCAGGTACAGGGTCCTGAATGTGCATTTTTTATTTTATTTTTTTTAAATGGAGAGGGCGGGTCTTTTAAAAAATTTGCGAAAATCCTCCACTATACCTTTAAGTCAAAACAAAAACGGTAAAACTTACACTTTCATCTTAATGACGGAGCAATTTGACTTTTACAATAAAAACACAGCTAAAAGTGATTTTCCAGAATTCAAATGTTTGTATAAACAAGGAGGAAATGACATGCATTTCTTTACTGTCTTAATCTTTGATATTAACTATGAACTCAACCAAGCAATATTTTTATTTTTTACATTTCAGTGAATGAATCCATCCTCAGAGCTCTCACCATCTCATGACAGTATTTGGCTTTAATGGAGACTGAACCATATTTGCTGTAGCAGGTTTCTCCATTGTTTCCCGCCATCACGGCCATGTCTGTGCACGTTACGCACAACAGACCTGAGAGAGAGAGAGAGAGACGACAGCAAAGACAGCAAGTGAATCTGGATCAAATCTAGCAGGGATATCAGACCTGCAAAACTGTTTGTCCTGATTCAGAAATAAAATATGTACAATAATTAAACAGCTGATTTCAAATACTTCAAGGTTAGAAAAAGCTGATAGATAACTTTCTATAAGTCCACAAAACAGCCTATGTTCAAATTATCTTCATTAAGTTTAATGGCTGATATAACAATAAAAAAGTGCCTTTTTAAGTCAGACACAACCAATTTATTATGACACAGAAAAAATAAGGAGCAGGAAAAAGAAAAGATCAAACTTTTTACATTAAGTATGAATAAACGGCTAAAAGGTGTCCCTGGATAATAAAGGAACAGTTATAGGAATTTCTGGACAGAAACCTACAAATAATCAAACTGTTTCAATAAAACATCCTGTGCTCATGTCAAATGTGCCAATCGTTAACCAAATGTTTAGCAAAAAAAAAAAAAAAAAAGAAGTTGAAGAAAAGATGTTGACAACCTGAAGAATAACTGATTCCCATTAAAAAACATAAAACTATTTAATTTTGGTAATCTTTTCAATTTAACATCTGAATTGCACAATTTAACAATATTTGCATGAAGCTATTTGCTACCAAAAAAGGTGAAGTTTATCAGAAATATTCTCATCCTGGAAATAAAATTCTACCTTTTTTCAGTTGGATTTTTAAAAAGTAGTAACCGCTTTGTGTCTAAATTTTTTATATACTTTAACAGATCAATGAAATCAATTATCCATAAATGAATACAGGGTTACCGGATCCTAGAGAAAGTAAAACATAGGTACATAACTAAATCACTGCTGTGTTTTCTTAAAAAAAAAATTTTAATAACAAAATGACACCAAAGCAGCCTTTTAAACTCACCTCCCTCACTGACTGCCTGCACAGCTGCATCCAGGAAAACTGCAGGGCTTCCGTAAGGATCCAGATCAATGACATCATATCGCTCTTTCTTCCCTCGCATCTCATACATTAACATGCTGACCACCATAAACCAAGGGATAAAAACAGAAAATTAATATTAGCTTCTTCTGAGGTTAAACTTTGAAACTTTTAAAGAGAGAAAATTATGCAGAGCTAAAAAAAAAGGCATTATTTTAAAAATCAAGATGTGTAAAAAAGGTGCATTACATCAAAAAGATAGAAAACCTTCTACGGTAATCCATCACTGTGACTCATCAGGGGCATCAGAGTCCAGAATAAAGAAATAGTCTGGTACCTTGCATCCCTGCAGCTGGCCTGCACAATGTGGCCGACTCCGTTGTACTGGGCGTTCCGTGCGCTCAGCGCTGCCGCTTTGGTGGAGAAGTCGTTGGCGGTGACGCTTTGCAGGCCGGGCACCTCGAGGGCAAAACGCACCGAGCGCAAACCGGAGGCTGCAAGGCCCTCCAGGATACGAAGACCGTTCTGAAAGCGAGCCAAGTGAGGAAATAAGCAAAGAAAAAAAAAAAGTGTGTGCCACTTTCCTTATTTATTTTCTTTGTATTTGCATCTTTAATCCCACTGAAGTGTTTCAGAACATCACACAAAGATTCCACAGATAAACATAGCACAGTTTTTAAATGTTTGTAAAGTTTGTAAATAGTTTTATTTTTATTACAGGAAAAATTTATTCAAACCTACAGGTGAAAGTCATCATTAGTAATAATAATAATAAATATTATTGAACTTTATTGATCTCCCATTTTAGAAATTTAGCTCTGCATTTAACCCATCCCCTTGGAGAGCAGTGGGCTGCCATTGTGCGGCGCGTGGGGAGCAATCGGGGGTTAAGGGTCTTTGCTCAGAGACCCACAGTGGCAGTCTGTGGGAGTGGGGCTTGAAATCAGAATCTCAGGATTCCAAGCTCTGTGCCCTAACCACTAGGCCGCCACTCCCCAAAATTTCCCTGCTGACTGAGGTTTTAACGAAAACCTCTGAGTGTCATTGGGTGTTTCAGCCGGTCCTAAAAATCAAAGCTAAAGTGGGAGATTCGGATAAAAGACTTGATTATTTCTAAGCCTGCAGATGCAGTCGGCTCAGATGTATTAACCAACCCCAGTTAGTTCATCCCACTGAGGGCACAGGTCTGTGTTCTAAGGCAAATCCAATTGACTCTCCTGTGTTTCCATTCAACTGAAATTTGAATTTTAGGCAAACTTTAAAAGTTCTAAAAAAAAAAAATAAATAAAATTTGACTTGTGTTTGCATTTGGTTTGAAGAGAATTAACAAAGCACAGAAAAGGCGTCCTACGTCGTTGTCCATATTCTTTTGTCATGCATGGCTGGAGTAAACAGGAAGTAGAGGCTGCACTGTACTGACCACTGATCAGTAACGGAGGAAAGTTTTAATGGATGTGTCGCAATAGGGGAAGTTGTTCTTACATTAATGTCAGTTATGGCGAATTTGCCTGCAGCCATATTTACGCACCTAATAGGAACATCTGGGAAGATGTCGACAGCAGAAACAGCTGAGCTGTTATGGGAGTAAAAGTTCTCTATATTAGAGCTGATTTGAAAAAGTGTTTCCATTTCTTTTGAGCATTAACCCTTTTTCGGAAAAGCCTAAATCCGCCTCAAGCGAGCGGTAAAATATTTTTGTGAGTTTAAGGGAGTTTTTTCCCCGAATTTTGCCATTTCAATCTAACTTTTCTGATGTGATATTTCAAAATTAGAAAAAGCTGATGGAAACACACCTAATGGTGTGAAATTACTGGTACGCAATTAAGCGTCAGCTTGATGGAAGCCTTTATTAAAAGATGTTTTGATTTGAACCAGGCTGTGTGTATTTTATAAGACCCTCCTAATGAAATCAGAACAATCGTTGCAACACTTTCTGTTTGATCACCCGTTCAGCTTTTAATGCTTCATCACAGCTAATGAGATTCAAGATCCATCAAAGTACAATGTTCTTATAAACATTATTACATAATTACTTGATTCTGGACAGAGGACATTTCTTGCCTACCTCACATTTTTCTCCAACTCTTGCTGTAACTTCTTGTGCACCGTTTTTTTCCTCCATCTGCATGTCGGCTTCGTTCGTGTCCTCTGACAGAGAGACCACCACCCTCTCTTTTTCTCCAGGGATGAGTAACTTCACCCCACGCTGGGCCATCAGGTCCCTGGCAAACTCTGTGATCACAGCACATCTGGAAAAGAAAAGGGACGAGATTTCTTCTTCATGAACACAGAGCCAAAGAATATGAAGCCCTTTCTCTCCACAATGTGCCTTGCTCCAATAGTGCATACGTTAAATCCCTGTTGAACTCCTGGACTGGGTTGTAAAACACCTCATTTGCGTTAGGAAACAAGATGGCAGCCTTTCCCTCTTTGACAACAGTCTCTCCAGGTAACAGGTTCACAGGACATGGCTCCTCTGCACCATGCCTCGTTTTTGACGCATTCCCAGCTGCTAGAGATTCAGCTGATGTGCATGATGGCTCATTGGTGGTAACCTGAGCATCCATAGAGCTCTGTCTCCACCCTGAAGCGCCGCCAGCAGCACTCCTCCAAGGAATCGGTTTGGCTAAACAAAAGAGAGGAGGATGAAGTCGGAAGGAGTTGAAGCAATGGAGCAGCCGGGCTGTCCACACCAGCATAAGGTGCAGCCTGCAAAAAAAAAAAAACAACAACAGACAATTCAGATTGTAAAAGCATGTTAAGAGGACCAATACAATCGGTCTCTTTCTTTTACCAATGTTAAAAAAAAAACAGTATGAATTTTCTTGGCTTTTTGTTTTTAAAACCTTATCTATAAAGAAATTAATCCAAACCACAGGGAGTATCGATAAGTTAAGAAATACAAATATTGGCTTAAAATATCGACCAGTCGATATATCACTCCATCTTTTAAAAAATATAATAATCAACTCATTTAGTAATTTAACAATTTGTTACTGGAGTACACTGATTGTGAAACACGTTTTACCCACCCAGAACAATCAATCAGACAAAACTGTACAAAAAAAACAGACTTTTTGCCTTCAAGCTTATTAGCTCTCATCATCTTAAAAAACAAAGATGGCAGCTGTTGCAGATGATGCAGATTTCTCTAAATTGATAAGTCAACTAGGAGAGGTTTAGCTTTCAGCAGTTCTTGTTTTTAGCAGCAGACACTTCCTTTCCTACCAATGTTTGAGCGTCCACCAAAGACATGCTAGGTTATTTCATTAAAATTAATCATTTGTTACAATTTGTAACTTCATCGCCCATTAAATAAGGATAAGTAGTTAATTGTGAGCCACATTAGCCTGTAAACAAGGTTTAAAAATACATTTTAGGAGAGGTAAAACAAAAAACAAAAAAAAAACAAAAAAAAAAATATATATATATATATATATATATATATATATACACCAAACGCAATATTCATTTCCCGAAAAAAAATTAGCATATATAATATAGTATATAGTTTGAGGCAGTTATAACTTTTACTGCCCTCCAGCACTGTGCCTCTCAGCAGAATCATTTCGCAAAATGTAATTATTAAACAAATTAACAGTCAAACCAAACGGGGGAATATCTGATTACTACATAAAGAAGCTTTCAAAGCAAACAAACCATACCTGGAGTAAAAATAAGTTCACTAATCCATTCTACATAGATTTAGCTAGTCCGCCTAAACAAACATTATTAAGCGTTTTTTTATTAAATTTATAATTTATTTATTTTACCTGTGACACCTCCGCCTCGGAATCTACTAATCAGGTTTCGAACTACTCTTAATCTTCCACCAAATATAAGTATCCTGCTGTGGTTTATCTGCTGCGTTGCTTAGTTCTCACACTAGCACATGGGGGCAGCCATGATTGCTCTGACTGAACGGAAGCCTGCGCGGTTCAAAGTCGATTTAGAAACACAAAGAATCCGCTTTTCTGTTTTTTCCTTCGCAACGACATATTAACAGGCATACATATGCTAATAAAACCACGTGTGTAGTTGTTTTGGGTTAGAATTGTTACACAAACAAGAAAAAATAGTTTCTTAGTTTTTAATGCAAACTACATATTTAGTTACACAGTAGAGAACGAATACCTGTAGGATTTGCATTGTGTTCATTTGAGCGACAAATTGATTTGTTGTCTTTTTTTCTTTTTTTTTGCACCCATCAGGAGGTAAACGTCTAATCGAATTGTATGCAGGGTGTGTAGGGTCTGCAGGATCTGGATCAGCCACACCACACAGTGATGGATGAACACAGGACAGAAGCACCTGTGAAGTTTGTTCTCCCTGAGTTTGCACAGAAGGTATAATCTCTGCAGGACCTTATTCTGACAAACACCTCGGCTTACTAGGAAGGGTTACTGGGAGGAACCAAGAGTGGTCCACAGTCACCATGATGTGTGGGGACAGTGGGAGTAGGGTTCTCCAGTTACTGTAAGTGTAATCCCAACAGTCTTGAGTGAGATAAATCCAGGTGGTTCTAACCGTACCAGTGAACCAGCCGACTCGCTCCTGTCAGTGTCCTGGATCCTCTGCAAACTTCAGGGGTTTCACAAACGCGTCCCCTGAGGTGGGGTCATTTATGAGCAGCATGGGTGCAAAACTCAAGTCCTAGAGGGATGGTATCCTGTAACTTGTAGTTACTTCCCTGGTCCAACAAATCTCAACAAACGGCTATATTTAAATTTAGATGAGTTTAAGGAGAGAAATACGTAATAGTTGCAGGACACCGGGCCTCGATGACTGGAGTTTGAGACCTGTCGAGTAAAGAGCTGAAAGAGAGCGCACCCCTGGGTGGGAGAGGCAGTGCTGTTTTTTTTTCTTTTAGCTTTCATTTATCAGCCTCACCTGCTACTGTTGGTTGGGAATATGGCAATCAGTTTACCATATTAATTAAAAATTATTGAAATATACAGAAATGCCTTCCTCCAATTCATTCCCTGAAAACAAATGTCCGTTGTCTCTTTCATTTGTGTTAGGATTTAAATTACTGTACATTTAATTCTAAAAAGGAATGTCCATCCCTCCATCCACCTTTTCACAGGCAGAGTCCATCCTGGACAGGTCCCCAGTCTGTTGTAGGGCAACACAGAGACACACAGAGAGATACAACCATGCACACACAAGGAGAATGAAGAGAAGCCAATCAACCTTTTTTGGGCTGTGGAGTGAAGCCAGAGTACCTGAAGAGAACCCATGCATGCACAGGGAGAACATTCAAACGCCATGCAGAAAAGACCATCAGCTGTGCTACAAACTGCGCCACTGTAGGGAATATATCATATATAATTTAAACTTTTAAAAAAATCCTGCCCAAATTGGTATTTTCGCAGTTCTTGCAAATTAATTTCAACAAATTACTCTCTTAGAGCAGCAGTCTCCTCCCTGTCCTGAAAAGGGAGTGGCAATGACCAGTCTTGAGCTCTTGTTAGCCTCCCCCTCAAGGAAACACCTATTATGACTGAGCTGTGCCTGCACAGCAAACAACACACCCAATTTCTCTGATTAGGAAGCATTGATGAGAAGTAGAGCACCATAATCTCTGCTCAAAGTGGAGACGAAATAGCTCTTTTAGCACCTGAACTGCACTGTAATAAAAAAAAAAATGTTAATGATATTTAAGTCATGAAAATGTACTTTTTGGCTGCAAGAGGTCCCCAACTTTGTTTTTTTAGTCTTCCTAAAGAAGACTATCAGAAGTGGCATGATACTTCATTCCTGAAGCACCCATATACTAAGGGTAGCGTCCAAGTGAAGCGTTCCTCACTCAGTACTATCAATTAGTGTTTAGATCAAGTTCAATTCAGTTTATTGAAATTAATATTTATATTGAAATATAATACGGAGCTGATCGAGGTCCAGATCTAAATCTACTGGAAATCTGTAGCAATTGCTCTCCAACATTTCATCCAATCTGAGTGAGCTTGAGCTATTCAGCAAGAGAGCAAGCAATAGAGCTCACTGACATTTACAACTATCTGTTACACTAAGATTTTTTTTCCCCTTTTAAAAGTTTTAGAAATTTAGAAACAGAACGACGAATAACTATAAAAACATGTATTCTCTGCAGCTTTGAAACTTTAGAATAGAAAGCCAAACCTTTGAGAATGTTGGACATGCTTAGCTAGAGGAGTTTGTTAAGAATTGTCCGCTAAAGATCTTCCATACAGGGGCCTTCAGTGGAGCCTCAGAGAATATAAAATATAGAGTGAGAGGGTTCATCAGTCAGCAGGAATCTGGCCTACTTTTTCCCCAGCAAACATGCATAAAACCCATCAGTCTGCTTCCATGAATAATAATCTAATATTGTTGCGCCTGCAGTTAGTGGTGCATTTCAATCAAAAGGCTAAACATAGCCTATAGAATAACCACTTTCCCCCGGATTTAAGAAGTAAGACGTTGAAAATCTCTCTGGAGAAAGGAGATAAGGCCAATGTGTTGCATAAATGTATTTTGTTAGAGCATGATAGTGATGCCCTTTTATTGGACTAGTGGTCAAAATATTTTTTAGCTTCACTTTTCCCTGCCAGCAGATTTCATGCTGTTTTTCACAGTGCCCGCTCACCAATGCCACACCAAGCCCATTGGAAGATATGTTGCTAATCTCTGTTACCTCTTAATACATGTACACATTTAGTCATTTCTCTTGAATGTAAGACGAACAGAATAAATTAATTTGAATGTATGATAAGGCATAAAATGGGATAAAATAAAATTAACCTAGAGTTTCAAAACGAATGGCACGATCAGCCATTAGATGATTATTGTTTAGTTTAACAGTATTATTGATTTACATTAAAAGCTCATCCTAACTGGTAAATAAAAAAGGCATTGTTGATTGCGTATAAAAAAGTGATACATCTATTATCACTGCCTGCTGTAAAATAGCTGGAATATGGAATCCCTACAGTTATAGACAAAGACACAATGTTCAATTCTGTAAGTTGTTCCTTTAAACTGATCCTTTTTTTAAATTAGCAAAATATGTTTGTTTTTTTAAGTTTCCTTCATCTATCAAATTACAAAAATTGTATTCACTATAGAGAAATATGAATGCATAACTATACGCCCAAATGTGATAAAAAGAAAAGAGCTGGAGAAAAGCTGGAAGGTCAAGTCATCAGTGGTACCTGTGGTCATTGGGGCCCTCGAGTCAGTGACCCCCAAACTGGAGGAGTGGTTACAGCAGATCCCTGGAAATACATCAGACATCTCAGTCCAGAAAATTTCAGTTCTAGGAACAGCAAAGATACTGCGCAGAAAATCTCCATCCTCCAAAGAAAAGTCACTGTGGGTGTTGTTGCACCCACTCTTGCTCTTGCTCTTTTGGAGACTTGATTTTATGATCAAATTACCTTTCAGAAATGTAGCCAAGAGTTCAAGCTACTTTAACCATCCCCACCCAAAATAAATAGATAAATTCCTCCTAGATAGTTTAAAGATTTCAACCAGGCCTGAGAGGTTTCCCAGGAAGTAAATGCTCTGTCTTTCAAATATATTAATTTATTTGAAAATATGCAAAATACACTAGTCTCTTCTTAAATGCAGCAAAAAAAAACACAATTTCCTGCACCTTCTTCTGTGTCACTGTCATGTTATTGGCAGTTATAGTGAAACAATGCAGGTTTAGTTTCAGCAGTACCTTCTCTTCTCCAATTATTTGTCTTGGCATA